CCGGATCCGCATGCCTTAAGGGCTGATTATGAGGCCAGAGTGCTCTTAGGACATTTGCCATTCTATGGGTCTGCTGTGTATCTCACTTCCCATGTTGGATCATTCTCTCCCTTTTTGATTCTATCAGCTAGTATTTGCATACACTATTCTTGTTTATGTGATCCCTTTGGTTCTTAGTCCTATCATTACGATCAATTGTGAACAGAAATTGATCACTTGGACTAGTGAGATGGCATTGGTACATGCCACCTCGATGGGATTGAATTCGAATCCCCTGGTATGTTTCTAACTCTACTGTTTGAGGTAAGTCAGTTTGAGCATGTCCCGAATTGCACATCTCTTCCCTCTCTTATTCCCACTCATATTTAACAGCAAACACTTTTCAGTTAAGTTTCAGCACTTAAGAAGAATTGTGTATTGATTACAGTTCAACCAAAAGTATTAAGTAGAACAAACAAAAAAAAATACTAAGAGGAATAACATACTAAGCTGCTCATCAACAGTCAGGGTGAGGGCTGATCAAGTCACCGTTTCTCATAGTGTTCATTTCACTTTAACAGGTTTCCTTTTTGGTGTTCAGTTAGTTGTCACCTATCAAGGAGAACAAGTGGTATTTGTCCCTTTGGGATTGGCTTATTTCACTCAACAGAATGTTTTCCAAATTCCTAACAGGGATCACTTTTCAGTTAAAATTTAAACACCTAAGAATAATTGTGTGTTAATTACAGAGTCAAAATACAGGGTCAAAATTCTACAAAACATTTTTTAGCATAACACATAAAATAACTACAGATCATACAGAATAAGAAGCTAATAAACAGTTTCATTTCTGAAAAAAATAATTATAGCCACTTCCTGCATTTGCTATTTTTCTGATATAATCATGTTTTATTTTTGTCTTTTTTTACTTTAAATATCTACTCAATAATTTTATATTCAATTCTAAACATTAAAATAACTAGTTTGATTTATGTCTCCTAATGATCACTGACTTTTACAGTGCATGGGACTATCGGCAGGGAAGTACAGACTCAAGGTATTTTAAATCAACATAGTCATACAATAAAATTTTTAAATCATATTTAAAATAGATAAGAATAAAATACAATTAAATTATTTTTAAAACAAACCTGTAAAGACAAGGTAGTCAGAGGATGTTAAACAGAAAATTTTCAAAAAGTGGAAAGCAGATGGAGAAATGGCAACTGACCTAGAAAATCTGAGAATGCTAAAACCTAAGCCCTTAGGGAAGAAAAAGCACAGAAGCAAGCCAATCTGAAAATTTGAACCAAAATGTTTCAATCACTGGAGGTATGAGTACATCTGATCAATATACTCTCTTAGCCTTCTTTTTGCCTCATATATCCCAGACTGAGTATGAAGAAACAGAAAATGTGATGATGCCAACAAGCCCAGACAAAAAATACTCTTCTGAATGATCCTGCAGGGGAAACAGGACACACAGCAGACTCATAGAATGGCAGCACTCCTGCCTCAGAATCAACCCTTGGGACATTCGGATCTGGCTAAAAGGTCCATGAGAGTCTCGCAGGCATGGAAAGCCATGACACGGAGGCAAAAAACAAAAATCTAAATGAAAGATCCTGGTGAACAAGACTCCAGCAGAAGGATCAGGCCATCAAGGAGAGAGGCGCCTTTCTCTGAAGGGAGGAAGGAACCTCCACTGTGATACAGCCTTGACTAAATAAGTTCAGAGTCGGTGAACTCAAGGGGCTTCCAAAGCCTAGACAGCTCATGGCAAGAGCCTTGGGTGATTGCTGACGTCATGAATAAGAGTGCCAATTGTTAAATCAACAACGGGAGTCACTGGGTACAGGCTCCCCACATAGGATCTCTGTCCTTAATGTGTTTTACTATGAAACTTAAAAACAACACTACTACAGGGCCGGCGCCGCGGCTCACTAGGCTAATCCTCCGCCTAGTGGCGCTGGCACACCGGGTTCTAGTCCC